AGTTTGTGCTTCAGAGCTGCAAGGTGTGGCTCCCTTGGATCATGCCAGGGGCGGAGCTTAGTTCAGACAAAGGTGCATGCCCATCCCTAGGCAAGTGTGGCCGGTGGGACCGCACAGGGCCCCCAATATCTTGTGTACAGCCCATAGCCCAATAGTATATAGGCTTAGTCTCTGTTTTTTTTGGTCCAAGTTCCATTGATGCGTATAGAAAACAACAATTGCATCTATTCGACTTCCTCCTGATGGTGCGTGCCTTCGTTCTTCCCGACGAATCGTGGCTCGCGAGTCGTCTCGTCGACTCAGCCCTAGGTATTTCGCACTTGCCGCACTTCAACGGCCGAGCGGCGGCGCCGCGGCAGACGTCGAAGCCACGAGGCCCACGAGAGGCCGTGCTAATTGACGAGCGTTTCGGATGGTACATGAAGTTGGGAGCAGCCAAGACGGAAGGAAGCCTGATCATGATTGGTTGTGGCAAGTTAGCGAGCAAGGCAATTTTCTTTTTTCTTTTCTAAAATTCTACTCATTATTAAATCAGTACACGTGCATTTGATGTATATGTGCCGTATGTCTCTAAATTTTGTTCTTTTCATCTTTTGTATACATGTGTATCCTGTGATAATCTTGAGGCCGCTCATAAAAGAAAAGCTTACTGATTTGGCTACAATAGCACTTGAGGGCAACAAGCTGGACAAGATTGACTATGAGTAGGGACGGAGACAGTATTTAGATATAGGGAGGCTAGTTCACCAAATATAAAAAAAATAGAGTTATACGATACCACCGCCAGATCTTGATATCGGCTTAAAAAAATATCAACTTTAATGTTGGCTAAAAGAGTTATAATAAATTATCTTTAATCTCGTCATCTTAAAAAAAACTCGACCTGAAGGGGTTAAGATTGCCCCCACAGCATTCCAAATAAGAAGACCTTCTCACCAGGCTGAGAAAACCCCCGAACCCAATGTCTAAATTAAAGATAAAAGGAGACTCACATCATATTTACTTTATTTAGACACTTAATATTAGACAATCAAGAGATGACATTAGATAATCAAGAAATGTATTTGAGAAAAACAATCTACAATTGATTGAGAAGATTTATTTACTTATAATTTCTAGTAATTAGTGAGGACTAATGATATGTACTAATGAAGATTATGCAAAGGACTAATGAAGATTTATGGCCCTATTTTGCTAGCCTGTGAAGCCCCGTTTTAGACTTTGCACAGGGCCTCAGTTTTGGCCGGGACGGCCCTGCAAAGGTGGGCCGTGGCCCCTCCTGTCAAACATGATTTGCACTGAGTAAACAGTAAATGTGGTACTGTTAATTGTTGTTTACAGCATAATTACACAGACTAGCCCCTCCTGATTTCTTGATCGAGCTCCGCCTCTAGATCATGCATACGAAGACAGACCGGTTGGACGGCGTATAGTAAAGGTGAGATATTGCAGAGCACCAGCAAGGCTGCGATAGTCAGAGTGATCCGAAACAGGAGCACCATCGGCTGCAGAGAGCTTCGGATTCAAATCAACAAGTGTCAAGCATGGCTTGCAGTCTGCCATGCCAGCACGTTCCAGAATCTCAACCATATACTGCTGCTGGAAAGAAGAGGGATGCAATAGTGCGACGAAGTAGAGCATCCCAGGAAGCTGTAAGAATAATATCATCCACATAGAGTAGGACGTAAACCGTGTCATCACCATGATGATAAATGAACAGAGATGTGTCTGGTTTGGACTCCACAAAACCAAGCTGGAATAAGTGTGAAGCGAAGTGACTGTACCAAGCCCTGGGTTCCTAAAGAGAGCGATTCAGCCAGCAGACATAATCAGCATGTGCAGAATCCTCAAATCCAGGAGACTGGGAACAATAAACTGTCTCTGTCAAAACCCCATGAAGAAAAGCATTCTTGATGTCGAGCTGATGAATGGGCCAGTTTGAGAGACAGCAAGAGAGAATACGGTGTGCATGGTCGCAGGCTTCACAACTGGGCTAAAAGTCTCATTGAAGTCAATCCCAGGGCACTGAGTTTCCCCGAAGAACCCATCATGCCTTATAATGTTCAAGTGAACCATCTGCCTTGAATTTATGCTTGAAGATCCACTTTCTGGTCACCAGATTGGCTGTGGGAGGACGGGGGAACAAGATCCCATGTGTTATTCTCCAGAAAGGAGGAGAATTTATCTTCCATGGTAGCCCGCTAATTGGGGTTGGCATCGACAAGAGCAGCAGGATAGCTTGGAGGCACCAGGAACAGCAGCACGGCATGGTAGAGCGCAGGCTGACGGAACCCGAGCTTGCCACAGGTGATCATGGCAATGCTGAGGTGCTGGCACAGTTTCCAGAGAAGGAGATGACATCGGCTTGGTGGGAGCCAAAGATGGTCACCTAGAGTAGATGAAGCAGAAGTCACAGGAGGGAAGACAACCCATCTGACCAGCTGCGCAAGCTAAGAGGGGGGCAAGCACAGGGTTAGTGTAATCATCGAGGAACTCGAAATCCGCTGGGGTGGGAGTGGTTTGCTGCTCGGCAAAGGGAAAAGAGGCCTCATCAAAGATGACGTGGTGAGAGACAATGATACGATTTGACTGAAAGTCAACACACTGGTGAGACAATGAGCAGAATATCCCAGAAAAACACAGGGGACGGAAAGAGGGGCAAGCTTGTGAGAAGCGGTGGCGGAAAGGTTAGGATGACACTTGCAACCGAAGACACAAAGGTGAGAATAGGATGGTAGAGTGCCAAGAAGGGTGTGATGGGGTGTAGAGAAATCAAGCGACTTGGTAGGCAAGATGTTAAGACGATAGGTGGTGATGTAGAGGGCTTCAACCTAGTAAGAGGGGGAATACTGACATGAAACAAGAGAGAGCGAACAATGTTATTTGTGGAACGGATGATGCGCTTGGCTTTACCGTTTTGGGAGGAGGTGTAGGGACATGACATGTGGAGATGGACGCCACGGGAGAGGAAGAACACGCGCACACTAAAGTTATCAAACTCCCAGCCATTGTCTTAATGGTGATGCCAAACTGGGTGCAGACAAAGGAGAAAAAGTTAGAACGAGTGGCTGCTGTCCAGAAAGCCAGCTAGTAGGAAGAGGCTGCTGGGTGCCGCCAAGGAAGGCCTACTGTGGCTGCTGTCCAGAAGCCAGCCAGTAGGAAGAGGCACCAGGGTAGACCAGGCCAGATCTGAATAGCCCCTGACCAGGGGTTGTGGAAGGAGGGCCAGCCACCTGGGATAGACTGACTAGGAGAATAGCCAATGCCGGTGCCTGGAGGAGGAGCAGCGCCTGCAGTAGCAAACCCGGGACTGGCCTTGCTGGCCACCAGGGCGGTGCTCCTGGTTGTGCTGATTGCGCTGGCCGCTGCAGTTCTTCGGAAGGGCACCCCCGGTGCCCGAGGCAGGCTGCTGCTGCTAGAATCAGGGCACTGGAGGGTGGCTGATGGGGGCGACCAGTAGTGGCAACAAAGTCTGACCAGGTGGAGGAGCGTTTGGCGATGTTGAGATCCTCATGAAGAAGTTCGTTCCAGGCAACAAGGAAGGTCAGGAACGGCCTCGAACGTTGAAGATGCATCCCAATGACGGCATACTTCTTGTTCAAGCTGCGGATGAGGTTGAGAACGGTCCTACACAGGCTTACCAAGATCCTACACAGGCTGCGGATGAAGGTCCTACACAAGCTTATCAAGATTGCCAAGGGCAGAGCACGGGTCCGGGTGAGCTGAGGGCATCCCGCATGCGAGCCTCGGTGGCATCCTGAGCTGCGGCAGTGAGGGTGACCTCGCGTTCGACAGTCTCGACTTTCTCCAGCGCATCCATCCGCATGGGTCTAGGTAGCCCTGGCAGCGGCGTCGGAAAGGGCAGAGGCCGCGGCCGCAAGCTTCTCCTTGGCAGTGGCGGCTGCCTCGGCGGTGGCAGCAGCGACGGCTTTGTGGGATCACCGGCCATGGGGGCATTGCAACACAAGGGGAAGCGGAGCGCAGGATACCGGGTACGGAAGAGGGCAGCGGAAGGAGAGGATCAGATTGATCGGGTCTCTTTGATATCATGTAAGTTGGGAATAGTAGATTGATTATATAGGTGTACAAGGTACAAGTATATATAGGTGTGGCGGCTAATGGAAATAGAACCGTACTCAGATACTCCTAGTCTAATACAACTCAATCTACAGTGTGCCGGATTAGGACTCTGGCAACATGTATGTGGGCTGGCCGGCCATGATATAGGCGCATGGGCCAGGCGAAATCTAATACCCAAAACTATGAGCGTGTTTTGTTACCGGCCATCGTACACCACGCCGCATGTGCGGCGTCGCCGCAGCTGAGGCACCAAAAATGGACGCCGCACTCTTTGGCGAGAATCCAACCTGTTTACGTTGCAATCTTCTGTGGCTGCCTAAGTAGTCTTATCAACCAAACAGAAGCTTATGTTTTTGTGGTGTAGCCACAAGTTTAGGCATGGCGTGTTGTGGCTGGGAACCAAACACACCCTAAATGTCTAACACTAACCCTACTGGGTCCTTAGAATATTAGTTGACTATGCACAAGATAAAGTAATAAGCTATCATTGGATTCTATGCAATGCTATTTATGATAGCTATCATTGGTTGATTCTTGAGTGGTCCTTTGTTTTTCTTCTTGTTCTAGCCTTGCTAGGGCTTAGCTGATGTTTTTTCCGTTTGTTTGGCTCAGTGTTTGTTTTTGTGTTTTAATAAAATCTAACAGTGGGGGCTTCCCCTGCTGTTTTCCTGGTTCAATTTTTTTTTTAAAGTATTGAGCAATAAGACTTCTCCTAACATGTCTAAAAAAGGTCACGAAATAAACATAATATGATACTGCAGGTTAGTTATTTTATAACATAAAAAAAGCATATTTGTGCAAAAAGCTGAGGTTAGACTCTAGAAAAAATTTAGGACCTGTTTGTTTACCCCCCCCCCCCCAACCCCCAACAACTAATATTTAAATGTATAGTATGAAAACCACAGAAAGATCCACCATACCTCGGCAAAATGTTTGGATAGAAATAGAAGCTTTCCTTGTTGAAAGAAATTTTTTGCGAACAGTAAAGGTTCGAAAGTGACCCTGCACAATCCTGGAAGCATTGTCCAGAATCTCACCACGTCTGGAGTCCAACACAGCTATCTGACCAGCCCGGAGAAAAACTTTTGTTCTGCCAAGCTGAAGAATACAATCAGACACAAAAATAGGTATACACCATTAAATTGTATTTCCATGAAACTAGTTTATAATAATGCCGCTTCCAAGAGGTGTTTCTGTGCTTCACCATCACAACAGGGTTGCACAAATGTTAATGCCCTTGAAGGGGCAAGTAAGAATAAACAGCCCTTCAGTTTAGCTTCAAATTTTATAAGACTCTAAAATGTCAAACATAGAAGCACCTCTCATCATATGCAACCTGTGTAACAATTTTTTTTTGAGCGGCAAAAACTGTGGGGATATGTTGTGTAAAAATTGCCTGGTGGTGATAAATTTCTTTTTTGGTGGTGATTAGTTTCAAGACATGAGCAGTAACTTATGTCCTTAAGATCTTAGCTAAACAATACACAAAGTCAAAAATAGAGAAAGCAATAACACAAAGAAAATGGCAACCAGAGAACTCATAAGTTCTAGTTGAATGCGTGAATGCAGTTGAATGTTCTTATCTTAGTGTTAAAATAAACTGAACACAAAAGAGGTACGCGATAGTTAACAAGATCGCTGACAAGTTGCCTGGTTGGGAAATGGCCATGATGCATCTAGCTGGGAGGGCTACCCTTGCCAGTGCAATGTTCACGCCAATACCTATTTATCAGCTCATTTCCTTGGAATTTTCTAAATGGGTTGTTAAAGCAATTGACAAGATTCAAAGAACTTTTCTTTGGAAAGGTTGCAAAGAGGTGAATGGAGGCCATTGCCTTGTCGCTTGGGGACGGGTCAAAAGACCAATTGATCTTGGAAGACTGTGAATTCTTGATCTAGAAGTGATTAGATGGGCATTGATAATGAGGTGGCTATGGCTTAAAATGACCCAGCCTGATCACATATGGGCTGGACTTGATATCATAGGATTGTTCTCCATCTCAGTAATGTCTACTGTACAGGATGGCAACAGGACACTATTTCAGCATGAAAATGATTGCATGGGAAATCCTTGTCCATCTTCCTCCATCTCTATGTATGCATACGACGAGATATTGTCAACCGAAGAACAGACCAGGAGGCACAAACAGATAAAACTCAGATCCGTGATATTAAAGATGGCTCATCAACAGATGCTTTATTTGAATAGCTTCAGCTATATGGGTATGGGATATATTATCCGAGGTTGACCTCACCCCTGGAGTGGAGGATCAGCACTTATGGCCTTATGGGTGTCTTCTCCTTTGGGTCAGTTCATGACAAGATCAGCCTATCATCGTTTCAATGTGGGAGCTGTTGTATTCGAGCCATGGAAGGAAATTTGGAGAAGTTCGGCTCCACCTCACTGCCGATTTTTTGTTCGGTTGGCCTCCCAAAAGTGTTGGACTTCTGATTGTTTAGCCCATCGAGGTCATGATCATCCTGAGCAATCCCTCTATGTGATCAGGAGTAAACTGTACAACAGTTACGCACTACGTGTATGTTCTCAAGCAAAGTTTGGATCTGTCTTTTCATTGGTTCATCTGCAGCATCAGGCCATGGCTAAATAATCTCATTTTTCATTGAGATTATGGTGCTGAACCCCTAGTTACGCACTACATATATATGAAATAATCTCATTTTTCCCTGGTGCCAAAGCATTGCAGCAACCAACAAGGTTAATAAGCATCATCACTAGGGTTGAACTCCTCAGTGGTGCTGTTGGCTTTGGGAGATATGGAAGCACAGGAATGAATGTATTTTTGAAGGGGCTTCAACTGATCTAAATGCTATATTTGCAGGGCATTAGGGATGTGGCCAAGTTGTGGTGTACGCCCGGGGGGCAAAGGCCTCAATAGTATTAGCCATAGGAGTTGTGTCGATGTTGCTTGTTGTAATTTCCTTTAGTGATTGGCAAATCCTCTCTTGTACTGAACCGTGGCCTGATGGACTTAGTAGGGAGTCTTCTTAGACTCCTCTTTCTTCTTCTTAATATAATGATGTGCACCGCTGCGGTGCATTTGAGAAAAAAAAATGGCCCAAGTCTGGATAGAATTAGGATACTTTACTTGAAAGTTCTCCAGGTTTAGTTGCCTTAGGATCCTCTGTGTCAGTGATCTCTCATCAAATCTGCAATAGTGAAAAAAAGTACATGGTAATCTTTTACTCTGTAATTATGTGATAGTAAAACTTCCAAAGAGAAATATGACAGAAGTACATTTATACTACTGAGAGATGCCATATTTTGACATTCTAAAGTACTCAACAATAATGTTAGCATATCACCTTTCATCCATATGTTCTGGCACAAGAAGTCCAAAGCGGTTGATGAATTCAGAGTATGTTCTCCTTGTGGGATAACCAGCAAGACTTATCCTAATAGCTTCAAGTACACCCTGTAACGAAACCAAATAAAGTAGCACAATGATTCCAAGAATGAAGCATATAAAAAAAAAGATGAGTTAAACCGAACGGAGAAATCATTGAAATGAATCAAACTTCAAAAGACTGCTACATTAGGGTGTAAGAGCAGAAAATCAATGGAACTAACCCCACTCTGCAGTTGCTGTAGTACACTGCCATTTTCAAACTTCTGAGGGCAATTCAGAGAATTTGGTTTTATGCAACGGATGTAATGAGGCTCCGTGGAGCTAAGTGTCTCCATTAGTGCTTGGAGTTGTTGCTGTTGGGATTAGATAACTGACCATATCATAAGTATAATCAAATAAAAATAAAATTGAAATTAGCATGCATTATTCTTGGGGGCTTTCAAAGAATTACTCTCCACACAACACACAGGGAGAGAGGAGGGAGAGAGAGATTCATGACGAAAACTCAAATGAGTTCCTTTGACTGCAAAAGTTCAAAAATTATATATATGAAATACTAGATTTTGAACTATGCTTTTGCCTGTTTCTTTCTTGTTTCCCTTTATTGTTAGCATGCAAGCAATACACATTTATTTGTACCACACAAATAGCTGTAAACAAATATCTAATGTGCACTGGCCAGAACAGTAAAGATAAATAACCCACAAACAGTAAGTAAAGCAAAAATCTGGAAAAACAAACAATTATGCCCAGAGGAAATAAAGAAAACAGTAACGTGCAGCACTATACCTTAAATCGTGAAGCTACTGAAGAAAACTTATAAGATGATTTCAATGGATCATCTTGGTGTGAAACAAAGAGACCAGAAATAAATGAGCATTTTGAAGAAGACAAAAGATTCTGGTGCTCTGCAATAACATAATCTCGGTTCTTCTCCAAAAATAAATCAGTTTGGTAGGTCACCTACAAAAAGTAGACCATTCATTGCCACATGCTCTAACCTAGTCAGAGCAACAAAATGCTAAGAATAGCTTACAAGAAATGTGATTCACAGGACATGCCTTTCCAGCAAAATGCGACAGGGAGAAATCCGTCTTTGAGAGCTTTGGTTTTTCTAGTCTCGGGTGTGCTCTTAAATTCTGAAATAACTTCATCGCAAAAGTTTCATGTGTTGATTTTCCAAGCATGCTGTTTAACAAGACTAGAAAGGAGTTAGAATTTTGAACTCTTAAGTGTTTGATAACACAGTATGAAAATCCTACCATGCTTCATCCAAAAGTGAAACTATGCCTATTGGTTTCTGCAAAACAAAAAAGAAATAGCACAATTATATAAATCCACACATAGATGAAACCAAATAAAATTTCAGCACTAGATATATATTCAATGATGCCATCGACAAGGATGCAACTAGTCATTTTCTGCAAATTTGGTAATATAAGTAGATGGTATTGAATAGAATATACAAGTTAAGTCAAATATCCACTCAGACACATGCCAAAAAGACTTCTAAATGTTAAAGACAGTGATTAAAGGTACAGTTACTTTGAATTATTTTTCATATATTTAGATAATATGCTAGCATGAAACATAAATGGAGGAAAGATTCCGACAAGAAAAACACATTCAATGATATATGTTAGAGAAAAGAAAACACATGCAGTGATATACCATCTTTTTCAGAAGTTCAAATGTTCAGTTACATTACATGTACATCAGCAAGCAGAAGGATGTACCAACTTTCCTCCTCATAAGTGTACGTCTGTAACCAGTGCTATATGGATTACATTTTTATAGAAAATGCACATTACTATTAAGATCAAGGTTATAGCATAACTACAGCAATGATACTTCCGTAAAATGGCAAGTACGATTTAGAAACTATCGTCAACAGGAAAATTGTGCATCAAATCAACTTATGCCCTATTTAGATTCAATGGGAGATAACCAACACCTTTAGCTCTGTTTCAATTTTAAAATTATTCTGGATTTCGTTTAGCACTCTGGCCAAGATATGTCAAACAATTGCTATATATTGCAAAGCTACAAACATCATTACAGATATAGGCGCCTACCACAATCAGAAGGGAGAAAGGAAAACCTTGAAAAGTTTAGTCAAAGCTGGTAAAGGTAAATCAAATATAACTACCATATCATATTCTGTGCAGAAACAATTTATGAACACAGAATGTAGCAAACTTCACTGGCACATGCCACAGGCATGTCAAGACCTTTGTTCATTATATGTGCACACTGGTATGAAAACTAAAAGAAAATGTGAGCAAGCAATACAAAATTGGCATTCATATCACCACAAATAACAGGGGATATTTCAAATGTAACTATAGATTCTCTTAGTTTTAGAAGTTTAGACCTTTTCAATAAGATCCAATATATCTTGGTTATCAACAAATTCAATGTAGCTCCAATTAATTTCTTCTGTTTTATATTCCTCCTGCTCCATCTTGAAAACATGCTGGATCAAGAAATTCAAAATACAAATGAATCAAATATGTTTGTGATTCTGAGGAAGGACATAGGCAGGGTCATAAAATACCTTATTAAAATGTTGTTGAAGCTTTTCATTAGCAAAATTGATGCACAACTGCTCAAAGCTAGCAGAAGGAAGGACCATCAGAAATTTGAAAAGAAAAATAGATTTAACTAAATAATCTTTCAAAAGTATTAACAATAGCGTTGAAGAATCTTCATGTGAAGTAAGACAGCTAACAGTGTCGGTTGGAATTGCATTGTACTACAATGTAGCTTTCAACCTGCTCTTTTTGTGTGTGGGAATGTTACAATTCATCATTAAAAGAATTCAACCAAAGTGCATGAAACTAAGTAAGTGCTGGTGTATTATATAGGGCCATCAGCTTCAGAACATGCCAACTAGTCTACTATACAAATTTTATCAATCAAGTACAAACACTATAAGGAATAACTAAGTGCATTAAGATTTTTTTATTACCATGAATGAGATTTTTTCCATTTGAAGTTCTCTTACAACCAAGGGCAGCCAACAGAATTCTTATTCCATTCAAAAGTCCTTGCCCAAGAGCGTGCTATGCAAGAGAAGCCAAGAGAACCAAACATGTCTAACATTACTGAGTTGCGAGCTAGCTCGTTACTTGCTAACCAAATCTGGCACTGGTGTTTGTTAACAAAAATTAGCATTGCATAAATAATTGTGGTGGTATTATTTCGAGACAAACAGTTCCTTCTAGAATGGCCAACATAACAAACTTCAAAGTTTGGTCAACCTGCTTCTTGACAGGGGAACATTAGGCTTTTTGTTGTCTTCTTGAAACTTGAAGAAAATACCAAAATTTAGCATCACATTAATACAATAATACTTTTACTAGGTAATATTTTTTAATTATGAAGCTCCTTGAAGAATAGCCACCGACACAAAGCTAAAATTTTGGCTAGGCCTCTGCTTATTAGTTTGAAAGAAAGACCGAAAGCCTGACCTGTTATATTTGAAACACTCAAAACCATAGATGTCCAAGACCCCAATCTGTGACCTAGACTCCATGTCCTGCCCAATGGACTTATTAATGTTGTCAACAAGCCTGCAGTAGCCACGCTATAAGCAACGCATTGAAAAAATGTAAAGCAGTTCACAAGGAGACATGGTCATACCAATCAAATAGTCGAGCATAAACAGTCTTTGCAAGAGTATCACGACCGATGACAGCTGCAGAACTGTCAACTGCCTTGATTATGTTTCCTTCAGGAGTTTTAATTGTGCGATAGCACAGAGTTGAAAGCAAAAGGCTTGCATCAACCCTGGAAAAAAACAAACAAACAAGAACTCCCATAAAATAATGCGTAGACATAACATATTAACATAATTTATAAATCATTTTTAAACTGTCCATGAATTTTTTTGGTGATGCTCACAAAGAACCAATGCATGTGATCATGAGTACTGCTAATATCATATATTGCCCCAAAAAATAACAGAGCACATAAAAAGGCAATGTCTAAAGCACTAACTAAATGAGTAAGGCATTGTGCTTCTCAAAAAGTTAGTTTTCAAATGAAGTGGATTGTTTGATGAGCATGTTAAAATAAAGAGAAGGCCATGGGACATACTTATGAATCTAGAAAAGTTAACAGAGTCATTGATGCATTAAGGTATTTCTTCACTACATTCAAAGTTATAATATCTCACAGCTTGTAAAGAAAACAAAAGATAATAGCATTTGTCAATTTGCTTGAACAACAAAGCTTATTACAGAAAAGGCTACCTTTTTATGTAAGTGTGAAACTTGGGGATCATATTCCTCTAAAATTTTGGTTACTAAATAGGAGACTCTGGGTTTTGATGTGAAGGGTTCATGGTGAGGCAACACAAATTAGCAGTCTATGATGAAATAGTTTATGGAAAGCTGGGAAAACAGAATCAACAATAAGTAGCATATGCAAACACATAACTTGATCTGAGAGAATTAGCAGTATGAGCCTATTATGTCCACAACAGAAAGTAACATGTTCACTCTGCAGTTTTGTGATGCACAGCACCAGTGACAGGAGACTAAGATAAAGATTAATAAAATACTCACATAAGTAAATCAGCAGCCATCTGGAGATGGAATTTACATTTTTCATCCTTAATAACAGAGGAATCAAACTCCTTTCCAGGAGAAAATTCAATGTTTCCTAGATGAAGGATAGCAGCCACAATTCGGAATATAGCTTCCTGAGAGTGCATGGTAGCATCACGAGTCAAAATTATTTATCAAGAGAAACAAGAATTTGGTAATTTTCTGTCCTAGTGTTGGAATGAGGGCAAGATGAACCTGATCAGAAAAACATATACCAACAATGTCCATAGCTCTCCGTGTTTTTAAATATTCTTCTGCATCGCTGACCCCTTCTAATTCATACATATGGCTTTGATTTAGGTAGTAAAAGTTCCTAGGATGAGCAAGCTTGTATTTATCTGCATCCTGGTGATACAAATTAATAATACCATAAAGTATCAATTGTGAGCTAAGTAACTCTGAACTGCAGCACATACAATGTTACTTATGTAGACAACATACATTGACAAATATTGAGCTATGAGGAGGTTTAACCCAACAGAGTCCTCAATCTCTCATGACAATGAAAATAATTCCATGGAGTAGTTGACACAAATATTAAAATACTAAATTCAAACAAAGTTGAAGAAGAAATGATTCCACAAACGAAAGCATTTTGTTGTCTGTTGTGCAAATTCTTCTTTACGAAAATTGGCTATTTATGATATACAATGCTACCAGTTAAGCATCTATGGCAGAGTGGTTAAAAGCACCCAATTCATAATTGGTCAATTTGTGGACTCAATTACAGCTGGATGCACGCAAACAGGAACTGCATAAACGAAAATGTCCATTTACCCCCCCAAGTTTTTCAGTTGTCCAGGATAGCCCTCTAAACTATTTTTTCTGCTTCACTTTGTCTAATGAAAATACTATTCCCTCCATTCCAAATTGTAAGTCATTTTGGCTTTTTTAGAAACATAGTTATTACTATGTATCTAGACATAGTGTATATATAGGTGCATAGCAAAAGCTATGTATCTAGAAAAGCCAAAACAACTTACAATTTCGAATGGATGGAGTAATATATAGTCACTTCACTCCATATTTGAGGTGAAGCTTCACTTAGTGGCATTTGTCTTCTTTTTGTTTCTCTTTACACAAGTTGTATTTCAAGTTGAAACTTATGTGAGATTATAGACAACAACATACCCTATTTTATGAAATATGTGCATAATCTTTCATGACTAGTTGCATATATCGGTAGCACCTGAAATCAGTTTAATCCTCAGGAAATGGAAAATTTGTCCTTCCCTGGAAAACAATGTAGGGGATTTTCCAGATCCAAATTTTACAGCTTCATGTTATGGGGAACATCACAATTAGTCTCAGGGATTGTTATGGTCGGCAAGACGTATGAACGCCGAGCCAAGGAGCAACGTGGCTGAGCCACACCACATGTCGGGCAGGGACACCACCAGCGGCCAGGGCCAAGGGTTCCAGACTTGGTCAGCTATCAGTTTGTTTAGATTTGATTTGATTAGAAGTTTCCTTAATTCTAGCGTCAGGTTGTTGGGTCGGATTGTATAAGAATCAAACTATGCAAATTAATGAGATTAGCCTAGGATTGTGTCATCTTGACACCCTTGGGCGCCTGGCACCCTAGCCCTATCTCTCTCTACCCCCCTCGCTTCCTCCAGCGCCGTCACGGCGCCTCGCCGCCGCCAGCGCCAGAGTCAGCCCCTCCACTCTCCTCCCTACGCATTACGTAGCAAGGCCAGGCGCCATACAACCTGGTATCAGCTCCATCGCTGCCCATGGATTCCGCCGCTTCCACCACTGCTCCATCGTCGTCGATCTCACCAGCATCCACCACCAGCCCCACGTCGGGCGTGTCGCTGCCCCTGGCGAACACGACGCCGCCCGCGCCGCCGCCCACCCTGGCCTCGATCGCTGAGATGTTGGCCAACATGCAACTTCAGATGACCGCCGCCATGAACAACCACCGGCGGATCGGGGCGCGCCTTCGGCCATCGGGCGGCGGCCAAGATTCCCTCACTTGGCTTGCCGGGTTTTGGGCGTCCCTCGCCGCCGCATCCTCCTCACCGATGATCACGGAGATCGCGGCCGCCATCGAAACTCCTCGCTTCGCACGGTGGCACCGTCCATGCCGCTGTCCCTTCCGCACACCGCCAGATCCCAACATTACCGGCGGAAGCGCCAACGCCACCGTCCGGGGTGCCGATCACTCGAGATCGGTTTCCGCCCCCATCACCAATTCCGTGGTTCGGGCCTGGCTCCTATGCCGCTCCGGCCTCGCTCCATGGCACCATCACAATCGCACCCCGCCGCCATCGGAAGGAGTCTGCCGTGGTGCCGGAAGTACCACAAGATCACCTTCGACACGTCACGATGGCGCGATGACCCCCCTCAGGGTGGCTCAACAAATGTGAGCGCTTCTTCCACACGACAGACTCACTCGGAGGTCGACAAGGTGTGGATGGCCTCATATCACCCGAAGGAGTCGCCAAAGAAGGTACCTTGTCTTTGAGACCGACATCGGCCGCCCATCGTGGCCGGATTTCCGTCGATCTCGCTGCGCAGCGCTTCTTGCCCGCCCTCAACACCAACCACAGCCGACCGGCCGCGAGCGCCGTCGCCGCCGCCGCCACCTCAAAGTGGCGGCGTATGAGCGCGAGTTGATCGAGCTTGTTCAGGAGGTGCGCCATTGGAGGCCCTACCTTTGGGGGCGGGCGTTAAATCGTGGGGACGGACCACTACGCCCTCAAGTTCATCTTGGACCAGCGCCTATCTACAATTCCGCAACATCACCGGGATTAGCAAGTTGTTTGGGTATGATTTGTGGTGGAGTTTAAGTCCCGCCGCTCCAACGCGTCGTCGCCGACGCTTCTCTCCGAAGCGGACGGCGAAGGCGAATGTGACGGCGAAGTCCGGAAGGTGCGGGGGCCCGTGATGCGCGCGGTGAGGCAGCCTTGAGGGTGGAGAAAGCGGTGTCGGCCGCGTCCGAATCCTTTGGAACAGCGTCCTTGCGAAGCGGTTGCGTCGGCCGCGCAGCGATGATCCGTAGTCCTTGATGAACCGCCCGGTAATACCCGGCCAGCCGAGGAAGCCGCGTGCGGTAGCTGCGCGCGCGGCGAGGGCTGCCAGATCGCATGCCACCTTGGCGTGTCCATAGCCACCCCTCCATCGTGATGACATGGCCGAGGTAGTGGACCGCCGAGGTGGCGAACGCGCGCGCCGACCGTTTGAGGTGGAGCGGTGCCGCGGAGGACATCAAAGACCGCAGCAGTGTCGGAGATGCTCCGCCCGGAGGAGTCTGTAGATCAAGATGTCGTCGAAGAAGGCGAGGGCGCAGCGGCGGAGAAAGCGGCTTGAGGGCGTAGTTCATCGATTGCTGGAACGTCGACGGTGCGTTGGACAAGCGAAAGGCATCACCGAAAACTCAAAATGGCCGTGGTGTGTCCGGGACGCCGTCTTGTGGACATCTGCGGCAGACAACCCGCACTGATGATGATATAGCGGGCGCAAATCAAGCTTAGTAAAGAACTTGGCGCCGTGTAGTTCATCGGTAGCTCCTCGACAACCGGGATTGGAAACATCTTTCACCGTGACCGCATTGAGGGCCCGTGTCGACCTGAAGCGCCACGAGCCGTCACCTTCTTCACCAACAACCGACGCGCGGCGGAGAAGGTGAAAGTCTTGGCGGATGATCCCTTGGCGAACATCGCCTCGCATTGCAGCTCGAGCTCGTCTTTTTGGAGTTGGGGTAGCGATGCGGCGGACCGCCACCGCTCGGTTGTTGGGCTTCGGATGGATGTGGTGAGTACTTGCGCCGGGCGGTGGAAGCCCCTCGGGTTGGCCGAACAAGTCTGGTAGGCGTCCGCCCATGCCGAGTCGAGGAGGCGCGCTTCGGAGCCCTTGTCGGCGCGGTACATAGTGAAACGAGGCGGTCGGGGCCTTGCGGCGGCGGCCTTGCAACGCAGTCGGTCAGAACCACCGGCGACCATGGAAGGAGAGCGCCATGCGCGATGTGGCGAGAAGTTCGAAGAATAGGCTAGCGACCTCAACCACGTGGGCCGAGGACCATGTCGTCTGGCGCCGAGAAATGGAGAAACGATCCACCGTGAACCTTTCGGTGCCGATCCGCGGTGAAACGCCCGCGCGAGCCACAGCGATCGGCGCGATCACCGTTCGCGACGATGACGTGGGCGCCCGCCCGTCGGAGAAGGCGGCGACTGCGTCTTCGCCTCGAGGATGATGAAGTTGTGTGTCGACCCGAGTCCAAGAGTGCCGTGAGCTCGTGGGCGCCAATCTTACGCCAGCGTTTACATGGTGTCATGCGCGCCCGAATGCCCGTCGCCACAGACGGAGAGATCATCGGCTTTTCCGGTCGAATTGGGAGAACCTTGACCGCGCCATGTATTTGGCTCGAGCCTTGAACGTCGCCAAGCGCGCCACGGCGTCCGCCCTTCCAGCTCCCGGCCGGAACCGCCGCGCCGGCCGAGGCACTCCGTCGACCATGCCAGCGCCCGCGACGGGAACCACGGCCGACTCCACCAAGGCATTCAAGCGGCTCACACCCGAGGAGATGGCGGAACGCCGCTTCGACCTCTGCTACTATATTCGCGACGAGCCGTTAAGCTCGCGAGCACAAATGTGCCCGTTTGTCCCTACTTGAGGCTCCCGATTACATCGTGGAGGAACCGGAGGACCTCGACGACGCCCATGACCGGTGAAGAGGCCCAATTCGACCGGAAAAGCCGATGATCTCTCTCGCGGCGGCGGGCATTGGCGCGGCGACACCATGCATTGCTGGCGTCAAGATTAAGGCGCCCACGAGCTCACGGCACTCTTGGACTTGGGGTCGACACACAACTTCATCAACCACGAGGCGACCTTGCAGTGCGACGCTTGATTCTCCGACAATACGGGCGCCACGTCATCGTCGCGATGACGGTGATCGCGTCGTTGCCGGAGAGGCCTGCGCGGCGTTCAGCTGGATCGGCACCGAAAGGTTCACGGTGGGCTGTTTCTCTATTCCCCGGGCGGCACGACATGGCATGGTCCTCGGCCTCACGTGGTTGAGGTCGTTGGGGCCTATTCTTCGGACTTCGCCACATTTGCGCATGGCGCTCTCTCCTTCCGCGATGTTTGGGTGAGTGCGGACCAAGGCGTCGGCCTTGTGCGCGACATGGCGTCCCCGCCCGCCTGTTCACGGCAGACCTACGCTGCCTCGACAAGGGCTCGGCGCGCCCTCCTCGACTTCTTCTTTGGGCGCCTACCAGGACTTGTTCGCCGAACCCGAGGGGCTTCCACCGGCCCGGGCGTGCGACCACCACATCCATCTGAAGCCCAACACCGAGCCAGTGGCGGTCCGGCCGTACCGCTACCCCCAACTCCAAACAGACGAGCTCGAGCTGCAATGCGAGGCGATGCTCCGCCAAGGGATCATCCGGGCCAGCACCTCACCCTTCTCCGCGCCCGTGCTATTGGTGAAGAAGCAGGACGGCTCGTGGCGCTTCTGTGTCGATTACCGGGCCCTCAATGCGGTCACGGTGAAAGACAGGTTTCCAATCCCGGTTGTCGAGGAGCTACTCGATGAACTACACGGCGCCAAGTTCTTTACTAAGCTTGATTTGCGCTCCGGCTATCATCAGGTGCGGGTTGCTGCTGCAGATGTCCACAAGACGGCGTTCCGGACACACCACGGCCATTTTGAGTTTCTGGTGGTGCCTTTCGGCTTGTCCAACGCACCGTCGACGTTCCAGGCACTGATGAACTACGTCCTCAAGCCGTTTCTCCGCCGCTGCGTCCTCGTCTTCTTCGACGACATCTTGATCTACAGCTCCTCCTGGACGGAGCATCTCCGACACCTGCGCGCGGTCTTCGACGTCCTCCGCGCGCACCGGCTCCACCTCAAACGGTCGAAGTGCGCGTTCGCCACCTCGGCGGTCCACTACCTCGGCCATGTCATCACGAGGGAGGGGGTGGCTATGGACACGGCCAAGGTGGCCGCTGTGCAGTCCTGGCCGCGCCCTCGCGCCGCGCGCGGCCTACGCGGCTTCCTCGGGCTGGCCGGGTATTACCGGCGGTTCATCAAGGACTACGGGATCATCGCCGCGCCGCTGACGCAGCTGCTTCGCAAGGACGCGTTCTAGTGGACGGACGCGGCTGACACTGCCTCCTCCACCCTCAAGGCTGCCCTCACCGCCGCACCAGTCCTGCACCTTCCGGACTTCGCCGTCACATTCGTCGTGGACTGCGACGCCTCCGGATCAGGCTTCGGAGCCGTGCTGCATCAGGATGGCACGCCCATAGCCTTCTTCAGCCGGTCGTTCGCCGCTCGCCACCTCAAAGTGGCGGCGTATGAGCGCGAGTTGATTGGGCTTGTTCAGGCGGTGCGCCATTGGAGGCCCTACCTTTGGGGGCGGGCGTTCGTCGTAAGGACGGACCACTACGCCCTCAAGTTCATGCTGGACCAGCGCCTATCTACAATTCCGCAACATCACTGGATTAGCAAGTTGTTTGGGTATGATTTCAGGGTGGAGTTTCGTCCCGGCCGCTCCAACGTCGTCGTGGACGACGCTCTCTCCAAAGCGGGGGCGGCGGCGCGCCATTGCCGTCGTCCTTTCCGGGCGCGCGCGGCTTTCTCAGCAACCGTCTCGGTGCCTACTTTCCGGCTCTTGAAGATTTGCGACGGGAGGTGGACACCGACCCAAGATCATGCTTGCTTTCGTCGTCGCGACGTGTGGCCGCCGGAGACCACGGCGATTCTGGAAAGCGCCCACGAGGGGTCGCTTTGCTACACAAAAGCGCGTCTTCGTGCCCGACTCATCGCCGATCCTCGGCGACGGCCTCTAGCTCGCCCTGCTGGGGGCCACGAGGGCATCCAGAAGACGCTACTCCGCCTCCGCGGAGTTCTTCGTTGAAACGACGACCGCCGCGTCGTCGGCGACTTCGTCGTCCAGTCTGCGCGGTGTGTGCCGCCGAACAAGACGGAGACGCTACACCGGCGGTTTCTGCAGCCCTAACGGTGCCGTCGCGCGTGTGGGCGGACATCTCCACGACTTCATAGAAGCCCTGCCCAAGGTCCATGGCAAGAGCGTCCTGCTCACGGTGGTGGACAGGTTCTCGAAGTACGCTCATTTTATTCCACTCGGCCACCCGTACACAGCCTCGTCGGTGGCCCGCGCTTTCTTCCAGGACATCGTTCGGCTACACGGCTTTCCGGAGTCCATCGTCAGCGACCGTGATCCGGTGTTCACGGGTCATGTGTGGCGCGACCTCTTCCGTCACGCCGGCGTCAAGCTCCGCATGAGTTCTGCGTTCCACCCGCAGACAGATGGGCAGTCCGAAGCTGTCAACAAGACCATTACCATGAATCTTCGGTGTTTGACAGGTGATCGCCCGCGAGACTGGCTGGATTGGCTCCCATGGGCCGAGTTTTCCTACAACTCATCCTACCACAAGGCGCTCCAGACCTCCCGTTCCGTGGTGGTATGCGGTCGGCCGCCCGGACTTGCTTCCCTACGCCCGGGGCGGCGCGCCGGAGAGGCGGTGGACACCTGCTCGCCAACCGGAGGAGTTCCTTGAGGAGGTGCGTGCTCGCCTTCTCCAAGCTCAAGAGCACACCCGCAGGTTCTACGACGCCAACCACCGCGAGCTTGAGTTCGCCATGGCGATTGGGTGCTCCTTCGGATGCTCCACCGCCACATGAAGAATCTGCACTGGCGGCGGGCAAGCTGGCGCGCCAATCACGCCGGGCGTTTGGTGACCGGCCGCGCGGCGAGGTGGCCTATCGTCTTTAGCTTCCCGGGGCGCCGCGCATCCACGACGTCTTCCATGTCGGCGTCTTGAAGCCATTCAGGTACACCGCCCTCGGTCGCGCCGCCTGCCGCCTCTACGTCACGGTCGCGATCGGCGGCGCGCGTAACGCCGCTTCGCTCGCTCGACTCGCGCGCGGCGTGTGGCACGTCCTCGTCGAATGGGCGGGCATGCGGTGTCGAAGCGACTTGGGAGCCGGTCCCTGCGTTTGTGAAGCTCACCCCTCCTTCCGGCTCGAGGATTTGAGCCGCTTTTCCGAGGGGAGAGATGTTATGGTCGGCAAGACGTATGAACGCCGAGCCAAGGAGCAACGTGGTTGAGCCACACCACGTGTCGGCGAGGACACCACCAATGACCGGGGCCAAGGGTTCCGGACTTGGTCACTATCGGTTTGTTTAGATTTGATTTGATTAGAAGTTTCCTTAATTCTAGCGTCGAGTTGTTGGGTCGGATTGTATAAGAATCAAACTATGCAAATTAATGAGATTAGCCTGGGATTGTGTCATCTTGACACCCTTGGGCGCCTGGCACCCTAGCCCTATCTCTCTCTACCCCCCTCGCTTCCTCCAGCGCCGTCACGGCGCCTCGCCGCCGCCAGCGCCAGAGTCAGCCCCTCCACTCTCCTCCCTACGCATTACATAGCAAGGCCAGGCGCCATACCAGGGATAATAACTAATATAAAAACACCAAAGGTCTGTAAACAAACCTTCCCAGATGCACAAAGTTGATAAAAGCAGTGGTAATTCCTTTCAGATTCAGAAATTTGCACAACACGAGACCGTTCCAGGAGGTAAGTTCGAACTGCAGCCCCAGATATTCTACCGGATTTGTCAAATTGAATTTCAACAAATTTCCCAAATCGACTGCAGTGAAATAAACTAGTAAGTAAACATATGGGTATATAGAAGAAAGCAGTACACCTACTAGTAATATACTATCATGCCTATCTACAACCTTTTTCTCACACCTACGAGCATACTGATATAAGTGCCTAGCTTTATTTCTTTTTATAATGAGGATTACACCTAAAACGCTAGCACCTTTGAAAAATTAATAAGTATAGCACCCTCACCGTTCAAAGACTATCAAATAAAAGATGTATAAAGTTGTATGGCCAAAGAATCAAACAAGCATTCTTTTTTATGAAAAATAGTAAAATAAGTTGATTGACTCCAAGAAAATTAATGAAAGAAGTAAAGAAGTTCACCTGGAGTTATCATTTCTCACTGTCCGTGCATTACCAAAAGCTTCCAACAGTGGATTTGACTGCATTGAAATGAGAGCAGGATAGATGAAGAGTTGAGAAAACATAAAGCCTTCTATAGGGCATGTTAATCAAGCACCAAAAGAATTGATGAGAAAACTGAAAGTTACCTCTAGAACTTGTTGCTCCACAGAGCGGATATCACCAATTGCACGGCCCCCAACAAAAGTAAGATATCGCATAATGAGTTTGGTGGTCTCTGTTTTTCCAGCACCGCTTTCTCCACTGACTAATATGGACTGGCTGTGGTTCTCGCTAACCATAGCTCTTCAAGAAAGAGAAATATGCCATGTAAAACTCCATATTCTAATTTCTAACTAACACGCTGCAAGCTGGTTTCCATGTTTCATACCTGTACGATGCATCAGCAATGGCAAAAACATGTGGACTCAATTCACCGAACTGCACAACTCTGTACTGCTCCATCATAGGCATATCATACATATGGGGGAGCTTTGCAAAAGGATTTACAGCAATCAAGATGCGCCCTGTGTATGTCTGAAGAAACAACAGAAGCGTCGGAATAATGTATGGCACACATAACACCAACATTAGCAACATGTTCCCGCAAAACACAACATATGGGCTAGCACAGATCGGCAAAATAATCCCTTCCCTCAATTCCACATACATTGGACCCGTACATGATCTTACACGAGGCCACTAGCCCACTATCCTCTTAGAAAGACTTCTTACAGGATACGAGTAATGTGCAGCCAATGGACATTGTGAGATTAAAAAGAGAGAGTAGAAAAGATGGAGACACTCACGTAGATCTCGTTGAGCGTGTATCGGAGTGCGAGGTTGCAGAGCACCCCAGGCTCGTGGAGGTAGACGAGCTTGGTCATATCGTCGACGCCCCCAAGATCGGCCTCCGTGTCCCGTGGCAGGACCTTCCTACCGTCTACTACAGCCTGCCCACACCACAGACCAGCCACAAAGATAATAACCAAACGGGCAAACCAACCCAGCCACGAAGCTAGCAATTCGACGAACACCTATGCTGCAGCTGCAGCGCACGCAGCGGGGCATGGAAATCGAAACGATGAGTTGTCTGGGTCGTTCCGCCCTCACCTTGACACCGGTGGATAGGACGACAGCGACTGAGGACGGCGAGGACGGGGAGGCGGGCGAGGAGACGACCTCGGCCTCGGCCCAGGCGAGTTCCGGGTGTTCCACCCACACGGCGGTGCCGGGACGGAAGATCATTGCGGCAGCGGCGGGGGTAGGCGTCGCAGCGGTGGCGCTGCGGTTTATGGGGGAATCCAGGCGATTGGAGTAGGATTGCCCATATGGAAGGAGAGGTGGTCGGGATTCAGGAAGGGAGGGAGATGGCGGAAGTCGCGCTCGAGCGCCCGCGTGTGGGACGAACCGACCGTTGGAGGAAACGGCGGGGCAGGAGAGAGAATCAGAGAATGTGTGGAAGACGATGGATGAACCGAGCATTTTTTGTCTTCCAAATTACGGTCGTTTTATAGGGTAATAATATGAGCTTTGTTTTTTTTTTTTAACTTGGCCGATTCATTACTCAGCTGAGAAATCGTCAGAGACAATTACAAATACATCATCGGGGATGGTGCATGTGATTAGCGCCTCTCCTTCGATGCAACTGTAACCTAAACCCGCGGAATATCATAGACAAAAACATTAAAATTGGACCTAGTTAATGACTTGAGCTCTTCAATCAAACCTCCTTCCGGCGGAATATCAAAGCCTTGGGCCTGTATAGCTTGCTGAACATTCAGTGCGTCAGTTTCCAGGATTAACTTGCCTATGCCCAAATTACTCGCTACTTGGACGTCTTGCAGGCAGGCGATCAGCTCGCCACTTGGACGTCTTCCCTCGATCCATCATCACCACATCTCCATCGTGGTCACGGATCAAGAATCCCTAGCTCCTAGCCATGGTTTCCTGAATGAATGAGGCATCGCAGTTAAGCTTCAGAAAGCCCTCCGGCGGCTTACTCCACTTCGCTCTTGGTACCGATCTCGGTAGCTTTGGAGGACTCTGAGACCGAGATATCTTGTTAGCATAAATTGTAATTGACCGTGCAAGTTCCTCAGCTCATCGGCCTCGGCCTTCTTCCGGGACAATGTTCCGGTTTGTCCACAGGGACCACAAAGTGATGACCATCAAGATAGCAATCTCCTCTTTCTCCGACAGAATGATTGAGACTGCATCCATGGCTGAGAATTGTGTAGCCAATCTATGTCTCCTGTCCTCCAAGGCCAGCAGGTTCCAAACTTGCTTGGCGAGCTTACGTCTAAACAAGAGGTGGCCTCCATCTTCAATATCTGTTCCACAGACCGGACAGTGAGGGTCAATTTCCATGCCACGATGGACTAGCTTGCAGTAGAGGGGATGGCTATCATGCGCCATACGCCAGAGAAAACGTTTCACTTTGTTTGGGCAGTGGAGGCCCCAAATCTTCATCCAGACCGGGTCTGCTTGTTGCCTGCAACCACCTTGAGCCGCCTTGCCATTACTGTTTTTGATAAAATCATCTCTGCATATCTTGTGTCAGATAATCTACTGTTTCCTTTTATGAACACACAGCAGGTAAAGGCGGTGCCGAAAAGGCTCCGTGGTACTGTAGCCGCTGCAGAGCCATGCAGGGGCAGGCACCAGAGTCAGCTCTGCTATGTTATCTAGTCACTGTTGCAGCAGGGCAGCTGTACTAGGACTAGATAGGTAGAGTTGTATATATAGTTTACCACTGCAACTCAACGGAGAAAGTTCAGATTTGCCATTCCTATATAGGGCTTTGGCCAACGCTGGTGTCTCTGCTGTGTGTATGCTCTGTTCTCTCTCTTCTTCTACCTCTGACCATAGTGTGTGATCGGACAACGTCTGTCGTGCTCGGCCGTGGTCGGCAAGACTGGTGAGTGGTCGACTCACCTGAGCTAGTGATCTAGTGGGCTAACAAGTGGTATCGGAGCCGTACAAGCGCCGTCGCTGGACTAACCGCTGGCGATGACGAACGGTCCGGAGATGAACAACAGCAGTGGTACTGCTGTGGCTGCCTAGCCACGACAGGAGGTCGTTGTTCGCACGGTGCGGGAGGTCAGCGGCACCAGTTAGCCGACGCTGACTCGCACCAACTATGGAGAGTGATCGATGACCATGAAGGTCAAGCTCAGAGCCCGACGGCTATGGAATGCTGTTGACAAGGGCACCAAAAATGAAGAAGATGACATGTTAGCGTTGGAGGCAATCATCGCTGCTGTACCAGCGGAGTACAGGGAGCCGTTGAGGACGAAAAGCTCTACTAAAGAGGCGTGGGAGGCTATTGCGGCGATGCGTGTCGGTTCCGACCACGCAAAGAAAGCGACGGCCCAGCTTCTGAAGCAGGAGTACGCCAACCTTAAGTTCAAGGATGGTGAAACGGTGGAGGATTTCTCCCTCCGCCTGCAAACGCTCATCAGCAAGCTGAAGAGCCACGGCGTCACCATCGACGAAGAGGAGGCGGTCTCCAAGTACCTCCACTCCATGCCGGCAAAGTACATCCAGATCGCTCTCTCCATAGAGACGATACTGGACTTGTCCACCCTCACCATTGAGGATGTGACAGGCTATCTGCGGACGATGGACGAGCGCCTGGAGCAGGCGATAGCAACGAAGGATAGCGGCAAGTTACTGCTGACAAAGGAGGAGTGGGCTGCTCGAAGGAACTCTGGGGTAGCCTCCTCCAGCCGCAGTGGCGATGGCAAAAGTCGCGGCAAGGCTTCTTCAGAGAAGAAGAAGCAAGTCGACCCAAACGTCTGCCGACGTTGCGGGAAGACGGACCATTAGGCACGGGAGTGCCCAAATTACAAGCAGGAGAAGAAGGCTCAGGCTCATCTGGCGCAAGCTGATGATGAGGATGAGGCCACTATTCTGATGGTGATGTTTTGTGCACTGCATGACGTCGAAGCCGAGGAGAAGGGAAAGGTGATGGCGGTGAAAGGACCTGGGAAGGCCCTGAAGGCTGTCAACCTCGACAAACCGCGCACCCAAGTCCTCTTCGGATGTGTGGGCGGTGATCAAGAGCAGCGTTGGTACCTAGACTCTAGTGCTAGCAACCACATGATGGGCTCCAAGGAAGCCATCTCCGAGCTGTGTGCGAATCTCAAGAGCCAGCGTTGGTACCCGGTACGGTGAAGTTCGGTGACGGCTCACGGGTGGCAATCCGAGGGTGCGGCACCATCATCTTCAGGTGTTAGAACGGCGAGCACTGTGTGCTAACGGATGTATATTACATCCTGCAGCTGCGTTCCAGCATCATCAGCATTGATCAGCTGGATGAGCGCGGTAGTGAGGTACTAATGAAGGACGGAGTCCTTAGGATCAGGGACCGAGAGCAGTGACTTCTCACCAAGGTGAAGATGTCTCAGAACCGGTTATACCTGCTCGACCTGAAGGTAGAGCAGCTGGTGTGCCTGGCGGCAAGGCACACCGAGGAGCCGTGGCTGTGGCATGCCCGGTTCGGACATCTCAGCTTCGACGCGCTTAGTCGGCTAAAGAAGATGGACTGAGGGCTACCCCACATCGAGCATGGAGGCGAGCTATGTGACAGCTGCCTGGCCGAGAAGCAGAGGAGGCTGTCATTCCCAAAGGCAGCCAAGTATCACGTGGAGGACGCTCTCGAGCTCATCCACGGCGATCTCTACAGGCCGATCACACCAACCACAAATGGTGGTCGACGGTACTTCCTCCTGCTCATGGATGATTGTAGTCGCTACATGTGGCTGCAACTCCTGATGAGCAAGGACGAAGCGGCGGCGGCGATCAAGAAGTTCAAGATGCGCGCGGAGGCCGAGAGCGGCAAGAAGCTCCACGTGCTGAGGACTGATCGGGGAGGCGAATTCACTTCGGTGGAGTTCGTTGCGTACTGCGCGGATCATGGTGTGGTGCGACACCACACCGCGCCATACTCGCCACAGTAAAATGGAGTGGTGGAGCGATGGAACCAGACGGTGGTCAGCATAGATCGATCCATGATGAAGGCCAAAGGCATGCCGGCAAGCTTCTGGGGTGAGGCGGTGACCACGACGGTATTCATCCTCAACCGCACTCCCACCAAGGCCCTGAAGGGCAAGACGCCTTTCGAAGCTTGGTATGGACAGAAGCCGATCGTGTCCTTCTTCCGGACATTCGGCTGCATCGGCCACGTCAGGAAGACGAAGCCGATCCTCACCAAACTAGAGGACAGGAGCACACCGATGGTGTTCCTGGGCTACGCGGAGGCTACCAAGGCGTACTGGCTCTACAACCCACACGGAGACAAGGTACTTGTCTCGCGCGATGTCGTGTTCGACGAGAAGGCGGCTTGGGACAGGAACAGTCCGAGCACGGGGGAAGCTGGCGGCTTCACCAGCACCTTCGTCGTCGAGCACTTGGTCATCCATGGTGGTGGAGACGCTGGGGAAGAGGTGTCGAGCACTTTGGGAGGGATGTCGAGCACTCCAGCAAGAGAGCCGAGCACTCCTAGGGCAGTGCCGAGCACTTCAGGAGAGATGCCAAGCACTTCAGGAGAGATGCCGAGCACTCCAGGAGGAGTGCCGAGCACTCCTAGAGGGATGCCGAGCATGCCAGGAGTGGTGCCAGGAGGTTCTGTAGTGGTGGCGACCACTCCAGGACAGGTGCCGAGCACTCCCATAGCAGAGCCAAGAGGTCTTGTAGTGGTGTTGACCACTCCAAGACTGAGGCTTAGCACTCCTACAGTGGTGCCGAGCACGGCAGGAGTTATGACGAGCTATCCAAGAGTAGTGTCGAGCACTGCATCCGGGGTGCTGAGCACTTCGACGGAATAGGGAACTCCATCAACACTGATCGAGTTCACCTCACCTGCAAGTGGCATCACTGAGTTCATGGATGCCTTCCATGATGGTGAGGAGGTGCGGTTCCGCAGGCTAGATGACATCGTCGGCGGTAAAGGGCCCTCAGGCCAGGCGGGTAGGCTGCTCAATGACCAAGAGCTGCTGCTCGTCAGTGCAGAGGAACCACCCATGTTTGCGTTGGCCGAGCGCGATGGAGAGTGGCGATGGGCGATGCAGGAGGAGATGAAGGTGATCAAGGAAAACGAGACTTGGGAGCTCGTCGATCCACCTCCAGGATGTCATCCGATTAGCCTGAAGTGGGTGTACAAGGTCAAGCGGGACGAAATCGGTGCCATTGTCAAACACAAGGCGCGCCTCATGGCCCGAGGCTTTGTTCAGCACGAGGGCATC